GGTATACCAGAAAGATTTTTTTCCAGATATTTATGTAGGTCGAACTAATTGTGCTAATTCAATAAATCTGGCTTTGAGGTTTTGGTTCCTCTATTAGTGGAAAGTATAAACAAAAGCCATGCATCTACATGTTACACGCTGGTAAACTTAGTGATGGATTGAGATCCTTTCTCATGTGTTTTTGAATTACTCAGAAGCAACTAATAATATAAATTCATAAAAGAAAAATAAATATAAAGAGGAGAGAGAAATATTCTTATTCTTGTTATTATTATTATTTTTTTGGATTCGTACATAATTTTCTTTTTTAGTTACTCCTTCAATATTTTAAAAATTATTATTTTCTTCTAATCTAAACCTTCTAAAAAACGAATGGTTAAGGTTCTGGTAATCAATATTTTTTGAACTTTTTTAATAGAAACTAAAAAAGAAGCCAAACATATATATATATATATATACACACACACACGAAGCTTAATCTCATTTGAGCGTTCTTAGAATTCTTCCAAAAATAAAAATAAAATTTTATCACTGCATAAGAAGTGTTTATAAATTTCATATTTAGAGTCCTCGTTAAAACTTTCATTTGTTAGAAAAAAAATCATACTTTTTTTTTTTTTTTAATATATACAAGATCAGAAGTTCATCATCATGACATAACAGTCTATACAGATGTTGAGGCGAATTATATTGAGAGAACAATAAAGTAGGAAATTTTCAAATTCTTAATAACAGAGATATCTTTATTACTTTTTTCATTTTTTTTCATAGTTTTATATACTTGATTTTTCAAACCATCATTTGAATGGAAATTTCTCATGCATTGGTAGCCACGATTTTTTTTTTAAACAAAAAAAAGTTATCTAGAGAACTGGAAAATATTTCAATGAAACTCAACAAACACTCGTATTGATAGAATACTCTAGAAAATTGTCTAAAAAATTATATTATTTAGCAGTAATATGGCAACAAATTTTGTGTTGAGAATATAAATCTTATTTTTTTTTTATAAGGGTATGTTTTAGTTTCTTTTTCCTTTTTTTTTTAGATTTTCTATCATAAAGTTAAAACTGTATATAAAAGATATCATTCATCGTGTAGTTTAGAAATTAATTGATCAGTATTTTATTGAAAAAAATTGGTAGAAAAAGGAAGAGAGACAAATTTAAAAGAAAAGACAGAAGGCGATTCGTGTATTCATGCATGATTAAATAAGAATATAATCAAACAGCAGCTGGTGATGAGTTAAAACAGAATACTTACAGATTCAGAGTTGAAGCAGAAGTTCACATGGGAATACAAACATGCCAAATATAGCAACGTTGGCAATGTTAAAATATATAGGGCAAGATTGTTTGGATCAGAGATTTTGAACAGATATCATATACTACGTACATTAATTAATCAATTAATCCTGCCACCTGACCGCCATGATATTTTCAGATGTTTTGTTTTGATATTTAATCCAGCCTAAGATGCTTTTAAATATTTGTATATAGGATCAACAAGCCTCGCCAAAAGGGCTATATATCAGCGTTATTAGTTTACAGACTTGTTTAATTCCTATATATGATCTGTACAATTCAAGATTTGTATATAAAACGGTTCAGTTGGATCTTAATTACGTGGCTAGGTCTAGGTCCATAAAAATATATGATTCTCTGTTATTCTTCCCTTAATTTGTAATTTATTACATGGTGGTGTTTAAGATTGTTAATTAGTTTTGTTCGTTTTATATATATAATTTGTTGTTTTGCTGCTGTATGACCAGAGGAATTAAATGCTAACCAGCTTTTTTTTTTTTAACCAAATGGAGAGCCTTGGCTCTAGACATAGAATTAACTGTTACAGATTCTTGGAAAAGCTAGTCCTCATGTGTCCTCATGAAGGATTTTGTTGAAGTCACCTAGTGCTTGAGGAAAATATGTGATAAAGAAGGGTAAAAAAAGCATAAGCTGTTAGTCTACCTACTAATCTATTCGTTTCTTTATAAACATGAGTGAGTTGTACCTGCCATTCTTTTTTCAAAATTGCCTTAATTGTAGTAACTAGAGGACCATAAGTACTCATCCTCCTTGTGTGTGATTGAATTACCTTAATAGCCAACAATGAGTTTATCTCTACAAACACCTGTCGAAAACCCATATTCGAAGTCATCTCTAGACCACTCAAAATACCCCATAACTTAGCACAAAGCACATAAGACACTCCAATATTATGGGAAAAACCATTCAACCAGCAATCATTGGAATCCCTAAGAACCCCACCGGATGCAGAGATTCCCGCATTCAAGCGCAATGGCTGATCCGTATTTATTTTCACCCATCCCCTTGTTGGAAGTTTTTAACTAATCAGTTTTTCTTGTCGAAACTAAAGTATTCTCGCCTAACTTAGCAACCATTGATACGCTATTCATTATGTAGGAAGCAAGTTGAAAAATAATGTTTATCGGATCGTTAGGCAACACAAACATATCATCAAATAAGATTGCTTGATGGGTGAAATAAGACTGTGAGAAATTATACTTGTTGCATAATATCTAGACCCATCAAGTAGTCTTGTTTGACAAAATATTCCAACCGATCTTCATTAATAACGTATCATTGAGCTTGTTTAGATTTTGCAAACCTAAGCCCCTAGATATGATACCTTTCTTCAAAAAAGAAACTTTTAGATGAATAAATATATTTTCAAAAGTATAACCAACTCCTTACCATAGAATTTTTGAACCGAGTGCCACTTTTAGATTCATAATTCCTTAATACTAGATGATGACTCTAAACATGTAAATAAAATCTAACTCGGTAGAAGTAAATATTTTTTGAAAGTCCCATCCGATGTTGGGTAACGACAATACATAAATGAATTATTATAATGACAATAATATAATAGACTCTTTAGCATTAAAAATATGTTACATAACAATTTCTTTAATAAAGTTATATAATAACTTGTACTAATTATTTTTAAATATTTTTGATTAGCAAAAAATTTGCAACACGTTATTAGAAAAATTAATAACAGTAATATAATGAATTTTTTAGCTTTAAGAACATATTGAAAATTCAACCCATTATATTAAAGAGCATTTTCATCGAACAAAAAGTCATGTATAGGTCATGAGACATTTTTAAATGTTTTGATGAGAAAAATTGACCGAAAGGGTAGATTAAAAATCAGTTCAAATAATAAGAACACGAGTAGAGACGTTTTTGAATTTAAGAATATATTAGAATTTTAGTCTATCATAAAAAGACATGGGAGGTTATTAAAAAAAAAAAATCTTTAATAGGTCAATTTCTTAGTTTAATCGCATTATATGTCTCTTTATTCTTCTGATTTTCTTAATTTATCCTTATGTTTTTTTTTTATTTTAACTCCTTTTTGTACTTTTTTTTAATGTGGCCTTCTAATCATTTTTTGGTCAATTTTTTGATTGAAACTAACACGTGACATTAAAAAATCCACCTAAAGTGCCACATCATATTAATTTTCCACGTGGCTAATAAAAAAATCCAAATAAAAATCCTTACGTATGGAAACAATAATTTTTTCTCCCTTCCCACGATCTATTTTAGAAACTTGTTTCTAGAATAGAAAAGATGGCAATTGCTGTGAAATGCGAGTTTCAGGAGGGACAATCGAAAATAGCTGTTACGGATACAAATACGAAAACTATAGTCTCATAAATAGTTGTTACACATGCAGCAAGACCCTTGAGAAACACATTAGCCACTTAAAAATATGCTAGCCCTATTATAGTCTCAAAAATTAATTGCTAAGTTGAATAAATATGTCTTTGGGTGTGACAAGGTTGAGTACTTTGGGCACTATATCTCTACTGAGGGAGTGTCTACTATCCCTAAGAAAATTTCGACAGTGATTGATTGGCCTATCCCTAAGAACTCGAAGTAGTTGATGGGACTTTTAGGTCTGACAGGGTATTACAATAGGTTCATTAAGGGTTATGGGTTGCTCAGCAAACCTTAACTATATTACTACAGAAGGACAAGTTCATTTGGACTGATTAAGCTATATAAGCTTTTAATACTCTGAAGATTGAGATAACTTCTGCACCAATCTTAGCTCTACCAGACCTTATCCAAGGGTTCATCATAGAAACAGATGCTTCCAACTCTGGTACAAGGGCAGTCCTAATGCAGTAAGGTCATCCTATTGCCTACGTTAGCAAGGCACTATCCCCAAGACATCAAACCCTATTAGCTTATGAAAAGGAGTTATCAGTCATCTTTATATATAATCAAACAATATAAGCATTACTTAGACTCAAGGCATTACAAAATCAAGACCTTGAAGTACTTATTGGAGTAAAAAAATTTCTACTTCTAGCCAACACACTTGGTTAGCTAAACTACTGAGATTTTATTACGAGATCATATATAAAACGGGAAAAAAGAATGTGGCAGCATATGCTTTATCTAGAGTACCCAACATGGAAATTCTTTCCCTAACCCTATCCTCACTCTCATCTGACTTACTTTAAAGGGTGAAGGACTCATGGACAAAAACAATATAAGTTGCTTATCGTTTGAAGTTACCTCTCACTTCTTCAATCCATCTACTGTTCCATATATTCCTTCTAAAGAAGTCAATTGGGTCTCACAAGGCGATCAATAAACTTCTAGCGATGCACCCAGATGCTCCTCCACAATCCCTAGCTATAATTGACAAAAGAATTGTCAAAAGAGGAAAGCAAGCTGCTATTCAATGGTTGGTTCACTAGAGAGATCTATCTCCAGGCAACGCCATTTGGGAGTTCGTAGAGGAGATCAACCAATGTTTTCCAAACTTCTCATTTGGGGATAAGGGTGATTCGAAGGAGGGGGTATTGTTACAATGAAAGAGCCTGGAGGAAGATGTAATGGCGGGGAACATGAAAGACATTGGAAAATAGAGAGGGGGGGGGGGGGGGGGCGGGGGCGAGAATCAATAACTGAAGGAGGAGATAAGACGTTAGGTTATTTGTGCATTGGGCCAGAATGTTGGATCGTATGGATTAAGTGCTTGGTTTGTTATTTTCAATGGGTTGGTCACTTATTGGAACTGCCACCTTTAGTATCTATCTGGATATTCTTATATGAAGCCCAAATAACATTAGTGTGTGTGTATTTGTGTGGATTTTTTTTAGTTTTTTTATTAGCCACACGAAAAATTAAAATGACATGGCATGCTAGGTTGATTTTTTAATGCTATATATTAATTTCAATCGAAAAATTAGTTAGAAAATATTCGAAAAATCCACATTAAGAAAAATTAAAAAAATACAAAAAGGAGTTGAATTAAAAAAAAAATATAAGAACTATATTAAAAAAAAATCAGAAAAATAGAATTACGTATAATGCGATTAAACCTCAATTTATTTGGTGCGCACAAGGCCCACCTGATCCATGAACATTGCTAATTTGCAAGAAACGTTCTCATTTTCAATTTGGGCCTCTTCATATCAAAATTCAGACTTGACTGAAGACATCTTGGCCGATTGTTGTTGTATATCTAGATCTCCTTACTGGAAGAAATGGCCTAAAAAACATTTTTCTTCTGAGGTTTTGGAAACAAAGAGATAGCAGAAGGGTTTAAGCTAATCTGCAGCAGAGAGACAGCAGGAAATTTGATTGATCAGTTTGGTAACAATAGTAAAATGCGTTCAGGGTTAAAGGGAGCAGTAAAGAAAGGACTAGGAGAGATGGGTTTCAACGCAGGTGGTGGAGCCATCAACTGGTTCCCTGGCCACATGGCTGCTGCCACCCGCGCCATCCGAGACCGCCTGAAACTTGCCGACTTTGTCATCGAAGTCCGTGACTCCCGTGTACGTATATGGGTTTCATTTGTTTTTGTTTTCCTATTTACAGAGAGCAACTTTTGATTTGTTTTTGTTTTGTGTTTGATAATTAATGTACAGATTCCATTATCGTCAGCAAATGAAGACTTACAGCCTCAGCTTGCTGCAAAAAGGCGTGTTATTGCTCTTAATAAGAAGGATTTGGCCAATCCTAATGTTATGCAAGTAAATTGTCTGTTTCTTGCTTTTTTTTTTTTTTTTTTTTTTTTTTTTTTTTGTTGGTAAGGTTGAGTTTTTTGAGTTGTTTGTTTATTAAGTACTTGTGTAAAGTTTAGAAAAGGGAAAAGAAAATTTGGGTTTTGTTTGTTATGTTGATTTTTTTTTTTTGGAGATTTGTGAAAGATTTCAATTTTAATCGATTGTGTAACTTGTATGGGGATTTGGACTGGCAATGTCGGTATTTTATACCCTTTTGATTGTGTGAATGATAAGAATTTGGGGATTTTTATAGTTTTGAAATTTGTTAAAGGTAAATTGTTTTTGTGTATTCAAAACTTAGTTGCATAATAGTTTGATTCCACGTAATTTGAATAGTTGTGTTACAGATGTTATCTTTAATATGAGTGTGATGTTTGTATGTTTAATTGTTGTAGAAATGGATACGTTATTTTGACTCGTGCAAGCAAGATTGCATCCCAATAAGTGCGCACAGCAAGAGTTCTGTTCAGAAGGTTGGTTGATATGTTAAATACAGTGCTGTTAAAGTGTAATTTGCAATTTTGGTGTCAAATGTAATGTCTGGTTGATTAAATACTGAAGAAGAAAATTGCTCTCAACACTGGGAACCTCAAATCTATGCTAACTGATTGAAAATTTTGTGCTTATTACCATGTCTCAGCAGTAGAAAAAAATATACTTGCATTTGCATTAATATTTTCCTTTTAATGGACCGAAAGAAAGCAGGTGGCCAGCCTATGTGCAATATTTAAAGTAAAACAGCTAGCTAGCTAAAGAAAAGAAAACAAAAGAAATTAAACACGAAACTGGCAACTGCTAGAATTGCTCAACTTTCAGGTGGTCCAATTTATTTGATTGACTCTATGTGCCCATGTCTTCAATTTTTATTCCGATTTTCTTGTAACTCTTTTATGTTTGTTCGTGATGCTGTTTGTGATTCATGTGCCAAAGCTTCTTGAAGTTGTGGAGTTCAAACTCAAGGAGGTGATATCGAGGGAACCTACTCTCCTTGTTATGGTGGTTGGTGTTCCTAATGTTGGGAAATCAGCTTTGATAAACTCAATCCATCAAATTGCATTGTCTCGCTTTGCTGGTAAGATGTTACTATATTTTGTGTAAAACCATTGTTATGCACTATAATTTGGCTGACAATTTAACAATCTGTGTTTATGATCTTCAAGTCATGTGTTGGGCAATGATGGTTGAGTTTTCTACGTAGTGCAGGAGAGAAAGAAACATGCTACAGTGGGTCCATTGCCTGGTGTAACTCAAGATATTGCAGGATACAAGGTGAAGTATTTGTTTGTCTTCATTTTTAACAGTCCCTGGATTATGTGATTTGTATTGCTGTCTGTCAACCTACCTATCTGCATGCAAATGCTCAGTATGTAGTTGCACACCCATATACACTCCCTTGCCTTCTCTACGAAACATGATAATGTACTGGATTTGTAATGCATAAATTTGATAGCTCCACTTTCTTGTCGTCACATGATGGCCTTTCTTTTCCAATTCCTTCTTTTATTTTTCGTCTTTAGTTCTAGCTGCGATCCTCAAAGACATTGTTTAGAGATCCAAGCATCTTTCCTCAAATTTTTTTCTCTTTTCACTGAAAGATATATTTTATTTTTCTGCCATTGCTTTTAATACCCTTATCAAAATAGAAAAATTTCCTCCTCTCAAAGGTCTGAATTATTGCTTTTACCTTCGTCTATTTCTGCCCATCTCATTTTGTTGTTTTCCTGATGAAATCTTTTCAGGTACCATCCTTTTGTTCTGCTCATGCTGTTGTTGATATCCGTTATCAAATGTTGAATAATTTAAATATGATTTGCAGATTGCTCATAAGCCTAGCATATACGTGCTGGACACCCCAGGCGTGTTGGTTCCCAGTATCCCTGATATAGAAACAGGGTTGAAGTTATCTCTTACAGGTTTAGATCTTTTTGTTTACTTTTTAAGTACTTGAGCCTGGGATTTTCAAAAAATGGTCATATACACATGCCTCAACAAGTTCAAGACACCTGCATTGATTAATTGCTACCGTCTGATAAGTATTGTCCCGTCTGCTGCACGTTTGCATGTTCCTAACAAAAATTATGTGCTTGAATATAAATGCAGGATCTGTGAAAGATTCTGTTGTAGGTGAGGAGCGTATTGCCCAATACTTACTGGCAGTTTTAAATACTCGAGGCACTCCGCTTCACTGGAAACACTGGAATAACAGAAAAATGGATGGGATTCAATACGTATCTGAGGAAAAACACAAATATGATCCTAAAGATCTTCGGCCAAATAGGAGGAAGCCACCTAATGTGTCTGATGTGGTGTATGTTGAGGTACCAAAGTCATGTTGCCTCTCTGCTTCTTTCTCTCTCTATGCGGAAGACAGAATTCGAGGCTCTTAATCTTTTTATTTGGAAGAGATTCAATTAAGTATCTTGATTACATTACTATTGGGTGATGAAATTTGCAATTTAGATATTTAGAATTCGTCAGATCTTCATTCATCGAGTATGTGTAACTTCATGATTTATTCTGTCTGACATTGTCATCATTTCTAATTTGAGTCTCTGTATTGTTCACCTACAGGATCTTGTTACAGAAGTCCAATGTGCAATGTATAAAACACTGGCAGAATTCAATGGTAATGTGGAGGATGAGAATGACTTGGAGAATCTTATAGAGCAACAGTTTGAGGTGCTGCAGAAGGCACTGAAGATACCACACAAGGCATCCGAAGCTCGCTTGATGGTCTCAAAGAAGTTTCTTACTCTTTTTAGGACAGGTAAACTTGGTCGTTTTATCCTAGATGATGTCTCTGATACCAACCCTGTATCATAAGATCTGGAATTTTTTAAAATTTTCTCCTCTTTTCTTTTGGAGATATCCTAATCTGCGATACTGCATGTACTACACTATCATCTGTACTCTTATGTTTTCTATTTTAATTTTGAACTCATTTTTCTTGTGAAACAACTTGAGATGCCTATGTTAAGAGTTGGTAATGAGCTTTCTGTTAACCTGTTACTGTTCCTGCTTCTAGCCTGCGGTGATGTTGGTTGGATGTATGCTATCACTGACCACCATGGTGTCCTCTTCTGGTTCAAGTCCCAAGTGTTCTGTAAATAATAGCTTAATAAGCAACTATAGAAATGGACAGATGATATTAATGTACCAGAATGACGTCTTTGGTTATTTTCATAATAATCAAATTTAAGAGAGTATTAATTTAAACCAGTTTATTTTAAATTTGTGGGAAAAAAGAAATATAAGATCTGCATCAATAAAGCCACTTTGGTTCATGCAATCGGGTTGGGTGGATGGTTAATGAGATATGTTTTCTTCTTAGCTGTTGGAGTACAAACCGTAAACCTGAAAAGTAAACTTTTATGAATCCCAAAGTCTTATGCGGATAGTTCTGTATGGTCGGACTTGAGAGATGGGAGTAACTTTTGGTGCGTTAAAGCTGGCAGAAGGATGCTTAACTTGAGTTAGCAAGAAAACGGGAGCTGCTTAGGATATGTGGTTGCAAAATGGCAGTGTTTTCCAATTGTATAGACAAACTGAGAAATTAAATGAAATGCAGAAATTTGTGGTTTTTCCGCACCCTACACGTAGAGAATTAACCAAAGATCATGTACTTTCCTCTTATCATCTAGCAGTTTTTATCTCACACAATATAAACATTGATTTGTGGTGATAATATTAATTTGGAATTGATGGAAAAAAAAAACCAAATTCAGGAAAAAAAATTGCTTCACCACAAATCATTTCAAATATAAAAAGAAAAACAAATTTTGGTTCAATTGGACACGAAGAAGAAGGACGATAAAATCAAGACGGGTTGTGTTCAGGTCATGATCTTCGATTGTATTTTAATGGTCGGATGACTTTTAATTCAAGTTAATTTTGTGGTTAATATAATTTGTTGTATGATAGATCGATGAAAAGTACTTGCAAATCAAATTTTCTTCTAGTGTTAGAAGAATTTTTCAATGGTTAAGTTAGTATACGGAAAGAGATGTTTGACTTGAGTAGGTTAGTTAATTGGAAAGGAAATTCAAGTAGTAAAGCTGGATGGGAAAGTCTTAAAGAAAGGGAGCCTGTGACTTAATCAAAAGAGAACTCAACATATTTAACATGAATAGATTTAATTGTATTTGACATGAATATCCTTAATTGATTTTTTGCTCTTAATAGTCATAAATATATGATATTATATCAATTATAGAGTTTACGAAGTAGAATATGCAACACATGAAATGTTAATAGTTATATAATGAGAGAATGAATCAACTTGCACCAATGAGAAGGCAACAAGGTTTTTTTCCTTGCATATAATGGATTCTAAAACCTGTTTGTCGATCGAGGTTCTCTTTAGTTGGATATCTATATATATAATCGCATATGTAATTATATTTGGTGATAATGCGATGGACACTTTTAGCAATCATGTTTTTATAAAATGTTTGTCTTTTGCGTTTTGGCTCGAGGAGAAAAGACTTCTACCTAGGATATTAATTTAATCATGCTATCTATTCGAGATTTGCTCGATCGGAGATAAGGATAAGCATTATTCGGTTAAAATCAAAAAATCGAACCGAATCGACTTAACAATTTTGGTTTGGTTTTTTAAAAAATTTGAAAAAAAAACCGAAACTGAATATCGAAATTATTTCGGTTCGGTTCGGTTTTTTTTTTTGAATTCGGTTTCCACCGAAAATCGAATTATTTTTTTTAAACACATACCCAAGCTCTTTTTTTTTTTTTAATAAATAAAAGAGGCACCTATGGGTTTAACTAAAAAAAATAGCTTTAATGATTTTTTTTTCTACTTAAAATAAACATATTTTTCATTAATTATTTATTGAAATAATTAAATAATTGATTATATTATATTGACTCACAAAAAAATAAAAAAAGACTATGACAAAGTAATTTTTTATAAATACACAAGTTTATGTGAGGGTGAATTCTAAAACCTCATGGAAAAAAAAATTGTCTCATATTAAAATTGGCACAAAAATGTCCCCTAAAAAAATTGACCTATAGCCGCTGCATTTATAATAGTACTATAGTAGTATTAATAACAACTAACAATAATAATTCTTTTCACTCTTTTTATACTTATACTAAACATAAATTAAAAATTGAATTTTTCAGATTATCCGTTCAATAATAAAATATGCACAAAATAAGTAGATTAAAAAGAATAAGAAAAATTAACAAAAAACTAATTGTAGCGTGATTGAAAAAATAATGAGAAGCTCAACCAATCTAGTTTATAATATAAATAGAAATAAATTTAGTATAGAAAAATAATAATAATCTTACACAATTTTCTTATAAAATTAAATGTGAAATATGCAACTTTTGATTATGCAAGTTTGATATTTTTTAAAAACAAAATAATTCGGTTTTCAGAAAAAAAAGTTAAAAAAAAAGGTTTTTAAGCGAAAACCGAACCTCAATTCGGTTAGGTTTTTGTTTTAGCCGATTCGATTAATTGAAAAAAAATACCAAAATCGAATGGAAAAACCGAATGATTACCCTAGTCATAGAGTACCCATCTTACAGTTAAGTTATGATTGTGTTCCCGCCCGAGGGGTGGTGTGGTGGCTGTGTTGTTTCCAATTCAAAGGCAGCATGGAACCATGGTTCTTAAAGAGTAAAGGACCAGTATGTGGTCTTCCAATTAAATACATTCTCAAATAAATCAGTGGACTTAGCTACATGATCTAATGCATGTCTTATGATTTTGAGTTAGCATGTTTTAAATATATATTCTTTCTCAAGAGTTGGCACAACAGTCAAAATTTTCAAACATATTCTTCCTTTCGGGGGATGGTACAACTTGCAAAGTTTGGAATTTTTTAATAAAAAGTTTCGGATTGAAACCATAGAAATAATGGTGGAACAAAATAAAGATTGGACAAGGATTTCTTTCCTTTATGTGGTGTAGTTTAAGGCATTAGACACCGTAGCTTCTGTTGGGAAAAAAAAAGAAAAAGAAAAAAGAAAAAAAGAAAAGAAATTCTAGGAAAGAAAAGACTTAGGGTCTACATGTGTTTTAACTTTCTAAGTGATAAAATTAGACTGGCCAATGAAAAGACAGTAGCTTGATTCTCATAACCTAAACATTCTAAAAACTGCTTCTATTGGCCAACAACTACTATCCTGTCATTTTCGCGGGGGATTAGAGTGGTTCAGGCTGGCAAACTTTGATGTTTGGCAAAAAATTAAGGAGTCATGGATGTTCAATCATTTTCATTTATCCAGAAAGTACATTCAAATTTTGGGTACTTGAGAGCACCAACTTCATGTGATGGTGTGAAAGAGATAAGTTACCAAAACTTGAATTACTAGCTTGAAATAAACAAAGCAAAAGGCGCTGACTTTATATTGACCGATGGCTTCAACCATGATGATGGTGATGGGACTCCATGAAGAGTAAGTCACAGCTCAATAAAAATAGAAGTGGTTCGTCTAACAGAGGGCTAACGTAGCGACTAAAACTATCAGATGGGATACAACATAAAAAAGCTGCCACTTCTCAAAAGCATGAAATTACGAAGAGAAGAGCTGCATGGAAAACGATGAAGAAAAGATTGGACTTCACCATTGATCAGACCAACAACAATTTGATAATGAAGTTTGATCTAAAAAAACCTGATGGTTAAGAAGGTGAAGGCCCAGGGGTTCACAAAAAAACTAGAAAGGACTATACTGATGGAACTAGAGGCAGGGAAAGGTCTAGATGATGAGATGCTGAAAGCTCTACGTACAAGATGATGGAGTAGACTTGCCATTAGATGAGAAGACTAACCACAAAGATATGGAGGTTACCCAATAGGCAGAGTGTAACACGATTACCCTATTACCTAGAAAATTCTCTGCAAGCCAAGAAAAAATAGCTTGATTAGAAGGAGACATTATGGATGATTCTCTAACTTTACACAAAATCATCAAGGTAGAGGAAATACCTGAAGAATGCAACATGGATTGTCTCTAAATGGGCTGCATAGACACAGATTCAATCATCTAGAAAAGAGATGGAGAAACTAAAGAGTGGAAGGTGATGAAGGTACTCTTGAAGAAGCCAAAGAAAATAGCTCATGTTCACTTGAAGCCTTTGTACATCAAGGAAAATATAAATAGGGTACTAGTTAATAAGGTAATGGTAGAAGACGGTACTGTAGTAAACATTCTTCCTTTGTGTACGTTAGATGTTAAAAATAAAATAGAAAAAGACCCCATACCCACCAAAATGGTTGCAAGTGGGTTTGTAGAGAACGTGTTACAAGCTAAAAGAATCCTCTCAGCGAGTTTGAAAGTAGAGACGTTGACTACCAACACTGCATTTTTTGGTGATAGACACGACCTCGAGCCATATTACGTTGCTGGGAAGAGATTGGCTCTATGCCAATAATTGTATCCCTTCAACCCTTCACCAGCTTATGCTTTTTCTAGAATGGAGAAAAATAAGGCAAATTCTTTATTGCAATTGCTAATTATTCGGAAGCACGGTTCTGTACCAATAAATAGACAGCCATTAAAGTCTATACTAGTTCAATACAACCCAGGTCAACCATTAAGATTGAGGAGTTGGGGGAAGAAGCAAAAGGAGCCCAGAAAAGGCACTCTTTATAAGGAGAGCCTGGAAGGGAAATGCAAACATTTCCTCATGAATGATCATCATAATGGAGATAACTCTAGAAAAGAAACAAATACATGCCACCAAGTAGAGACTCACAGGGTACTTGGCCGAAAGAAAGCTGACGGTAAACCACCCAAACTGGGTAATAACTAAAGATCAGTCAGCGATGATAAAGTCAATAGAG